CGATTGGTCATAGACTGGTCAGCCAACGACTGGACCAAAGGGGAAGGAGCAGGAAGCAGAGCAGGGGAAGGATTTTTGTTATGAAGAGTGGTGTTGGCTTTTGGTGGAAGTAGAATAGACGGGGATCTATGAGGACGGTTGGAATGAGGCCTGGAAGTGCTCCGTCCTCGATTTTTTGGTGGTTGCGGAGGGAGAACAGGTTGGGGATTAGGATTTTTGGGTCATAGGGAAAAAGGATGTATCAAAGACCCCCATCCTTCACATTTATCAGGTTTCCAATCATATAAAACTTTCAAAACTAAATATTCACCTTCAATTTCAAGCGGAATTTCATCCGGCAAAAGCCGAGCCTTTAGAAATCAGAACACATACCTGAGCAAACGTTAATCTAGTATGATTTGCGGTGAGGGAATCAACAGATATCGGAATACCAAACATAGTTGGAGATTTTAGAGATACCACTGGGGGTCCAGAGAGCCAGAGGGAAGTCGACAATTTTGATCCAGATCGGAATCGGAGCTGCCTCGTCGCGCTTTAGCTTAAATTTAGGAGACCATCGCTGCAGGATAAAAGGTTTACCCAGCAAAAACCACGGTCCTCCCGAAAGGACCATCTCCAGATCTTCCTCAGTAGAAAATTTGAGCAAGAAAAATCCATCCGCAAGAGATTTCTATATAGAACATTTTAACTGCTAGAGCTTCAGCATGGCTTTGAGCAGCCGCTCATAATATGGTCGAGGACCCAACGAATATCCGATGAGCGCCGAAGTCCAAATGGACTTCCCTTCAGAGAGATCATCAGCTTTAAAAGAAAGCTTTTGGCCATGGGAGAAGAAGGACACTGGGAAAAGAGTCGGTTTAGAAGAAGAGGCCGAGACATTAGCCGCATAGGAAAGGCCCCCCAGAGGATGGGCCAAGCACAGAGGAGGAGGGTAGAGGAGGGAAGTCAGGCGAAGAGGAGGCCATCGGGAGGGAGGAGCCCTCCCAGGCAAGATGGCGAAGGGATAACGCAGGCAGCGTAAACCCTAGCAGAGCATATTATAAAACCCTAATCCGTACGATCTGGACACTCTCTTTCTCATCTTTTATCAACTTCCCCTTTTTCAGCAAATTATTTGAAAGAGTCATTATAAATAAAAAAAAAAATTGCATAACTTTCCCATGAAAGCACAACAAAACTCCGAAAACAAACTTTTATTGAAGCCGTACACACGGAGCCGTGACTGTGCAAGCTTCCCCGATCCCCATAAATAGCCACAACCGTTATGATTTTTATTTTTTTTTCAAAAAATCTCAAATAAATTTCTTCTTTCTTGCTCCCCAAGAATTGGAGTAATCTATCCTGGCGGAGTGCTTCAACTACCAAGATATCCGGCCTGGCAAATTCGGTCGATTCGGCAAAAGCTCCATGACCAGCCGAAAGCATCATATAATCTCCACTCCTCCGCGGTACACGATACAAATAAGATTACTTCCCAAGGTGCCGCCTGCTTGCACAAATTCATACGTGGCCCTTCACTATTCGTCACATCAGCAAACAAACGCGCCGGACGGACCGCGCGTTCTCTATATATAAATAGTCGGCTTTTCTCCGCAGCCGAACAACGTGCACGAATTCACTTTGCGTTTCAGAAAAGAAATCTCTTTTGATGGGTTCACGAATGGCGGTAGCGCCTGCGATGAAGATCGTCGGAAATCGCCTATTTTCCACGGCGGCGATCTTCCGCCCGGCAGTTTTTGGGTTCAATAACAATGCCATTCGGTACGGTGCAGCTGGTCCCGTGTTCGGCCCCCGGTTCATGGGAACCGCCGCTGTCTCGGCCGAAGAAGACGGCGAGGAAGCGAAACTCACCGGCGGGAAGAAGGAGGATAAGGCTGTGATGAGCTATTGGGGCGTGGAGCACAAGAAGGTTGTGAAGGAGGACGGCTCTCAGTGGAAATGGACTTGTTTTAGGGTAAAATTCTCTTTCGCTTTTATTTCTGTAACTTTCTTCTAAAAAAAGTTTAATATTTTCAAAACTTTAACTTATTTTGTGAATAAAACATTGATCTTGATATTTTTCCAGATTTGATTATGTTTTTAAAAGAATTTGAGATTTTTTTATAATTTTTTTGAATTTTTGTGTGGAAAAATAAAAAATGATGGGAGAATAGCCATGGGATACATACTCGTCAGACTTATCGATTGATTTGGGCAAGCATCATCTGCCTGTTACGTGGATGGACAAGCTGGCTCAGTGGACAGTGAAGACGCTCCGATGGCCGACTGACATCTTCTTTCAGGTTATCTTTTATCTTAATCCTTAATGAACTGCTCATATATTTCTCTCATAATCATACAAACAGTAATTTTGATCTCATAAATTTACTTATAATGATGTGCAATGTGAAAACTTCACCATTTGCTCGATCCACCAGAGAAGGTATGGCTGCCGGGCGATGATGCTGGAGACTGTAGCAGCAGTGCCGGGGATGGTCGGCGGAATGCTCCTCCACCTCAGCTCTCTCCGCCGCTTCGAGCACAGCGGAGGCTGGATCCGTTCTCTCCTCGAGGAGGCTGAAAACGAGCGAATGCACCTCATGACCTTCATGGAAGTCTCGCAGCCTCGCTGGTACGAACGAGCCCTCGTCATAGCCGTCCAAGGTGTCTTCTTCAACGCATACTTTCTCGGCTATCTCATCTCCCCTAAATTCGCCCACCGCGTTGTTGGCTATCTCGAAGAAGAAGCTATTCACTCATACACCGAGTTCCTCAAAGAGATCGATAAAGGTAACATCGACAACGTTCCTGCGCCGGCCATAGCCATCGACTACTGGCGTCTCCAGCCAGGCGCCACTCTGCGTGACGTCGTCATGGTCGTCCGCGCCGACGAGGCCCACCACCGCGATGTCAACCACTATGCATCGGTATGTAGAGCTACACAGCTAACACATAACTCTTCGTGCGGCCAGACGGCCAGTGTCTTTTGAACCGTTGTCATTTTGTCGAACAGTTTGAGATTGAATCTTTTCGTTGATTTTTCAGGATATTCATGTGCAAGGGCTTAAGTTGAAGGAACTGCCAGCGCCGGTGGGCTATCATTGACGATCGACTGAATAATTCGCTTTGGGAGGGGAGACTGTATGGAATTACTTAATCTCTTTCTGTATTGTTAAATATTTCTTTATGTGTGAAAGTTTAATGTGATGCTTCATTGTTTTATAACTGAAGAGAGGTAGAGAGACAAAAACTGTTTTGATATAATTAAAAAGAAAAATTATATAGATATCTATATATATTTCATTATCTGAATGCATTTGACATATTTTCTTTTGTGAGATTTATGAGTAATACTATATATTTTATTCTGTGCAGAGAATATGAATAATAACATAATCAAGGTGATGTGTGTGCTGTTTGGAATTTCTAAAATGCTGTTTGGATTTCATAGGTGCTGTGTCCTGTTTGAAATTTCCAAACTGTTTGTTTGAACTTCTTTAGGGTGATTTTTGATTTATATGTTCATTGGTTGCTGTGTTTTTCCCTTGGCAGCTGTTCTTTCGGTTTGGGCTGTTGTCCCTTTGATTTCTGTGCCCATTAACTGCTATTTTGATGCTTCATTTTTTCCTTTGGCTTCTGTTCCTTCGATCCCTATTTGCCTCAAATTTTGAGGAGTTGCTAGTGGTTGTTTGGGTGGTGCTTTAACTCTATGCATTAATTATCTTTTTTCCCTCTATAAATGGGACTGTTTTGTGACAATTTTAGGGAGAATGATGATTTTTGGAATATAAAACTTGCGTGTTTGTTCTAGCTTGTGAGCTTCTCTTTTCCCCTTTTTCTCTACTATTTTATCTTGATTTTTTACCTTTATTTCTCTATCTACGGTTCCCGTCTATCTGTATCTTTCTTTTCTTAATTAATAAAAGTTGTAAGGTATTGTGTTCTAGTGTTGTTATATTATATATGTGTTTGTTTATGTTTATGGTAAGAAAAAATTATAGTTTGTAATACTAATATAAATTTTTTTGTTGCACCAATTTGGTATCAGAGTTTAGGTCATGTGAGTTTTCCTTTCTTTAAAAAAAAAAAAAAAGGATAGTCCAATCAATCAAAAAGTTGAAGTTTTAAGTCATGATACAAAAGAGTCCTAAGATGAATTTGATTCTATAAATTTTGAAAGTCAACATTCTTTGTCATCTATTCTGGATGAGAAAATTCTAACAACCAGATGGATTTCTCCATAAGGATGTTCTACTGATCCACTTCAGGACGAGCTTTACAAAATGTAAGAGAAAATATATTTTCGAGCCGAACGATATAAAAATAGGAAACTTCAACTTTTATCCAAATTTGAGCAAGAAAAGGAGATCATCCGAAGAAAGTACAACACGTAAATTTAAGAATAAGAAATGTCGCATTTTAAAATTTTGAGACAATCTCAGAGAATTCTCCACCAAGGGAGAATTGATGTAATCAAAATTCCTAAAATGTTGTTTGGAATTCCCTAGGTGCTATGTGTGTTGTTTGAAATTTTCAAACTGTTTGTTTGAACTTCTCTAGGCTTATTTTCGATTTCTATTTTTATTGGCTGCTGTGTTTTTTCCTTGGCAGCTGTTCCTTTGATTTGGGCTGATGTCCCTTCAATTTCTGTGCCCATTGGCTACGATTTTGATGCTTCATTTTTTCCTTGGTTGTTGTCCCTTCGGTTCCTATTTGCTGCAGATTTTGAGGTGTTTTTAGTGGCTATTTGGGTGGTGCTTTAACTCTATGCACTAATTACTTTTTTCCTTTTCATTTTCTCCCCTATAAATGGGGCTTTTTTTGTGGCAATTTTAGGGAGAATGTGGTGATTTTTTAATATAAAACCTGCGGGTTTGTTCTAGCTTGCGAGCTAGCCTCCTTTTCCCTTTCCCTATATTATTTCATCTCAATTTTTTACCTCTTCTTCTCTATATGCGATTTCCGTCCTATCTGTATCTTTCTTCTCTTAATTAACATAAGTTGTATATATATATATATATATGTGTGTGTGTGTGTGTGTGTGTGTGTGTGTGTCTATGTTTATGATAAGGAAAACTTCTAGTTTGTAATCCTAATGTAATTTTTTTTATTGCACCAATCCCTTTTAAGATGAATTCTATAAAATTTATCTTATGCTCTTAGGTAGATAAAATTTTATAATATAAATGTTAAATTTTGAAGAAAATGTTAGAAACTTAAATAACATTTAATATCTTTTATGATATAAGATACAAAAATTTTACAGAGAGTCATTTATAATAATCAGATTGAAACATGTTGCATAATTATAATAGTGGTGCTATTAGTATACATAGTGATGATATTTTTGAGTTTCTATTAAATTAATTGAGAGATAAAAATTAGTAGCATCTTTTATCATCTCTCAGATTCTTAGTCTAACTTCATTCATTTTCTCTTATCTTCTTAACATTTTCTAGTTCTAAAAAGCCTTATCATTTCAAGAAAGTGGCATCAGAGCCCAAGAGCTCCTTTCTATAGAAATGCTAAGTACGACTTACTTCTAAGTCCCAATGCTTAAAACAACGAATTATAGAGATTTGAGTATCAAGATGAAGGCAATTCTTAAAGTGCATGGCATTTGAGAGATTGTAGAGAAAGGCTATGATAACCCAAGAGACGAATCATCTCTCTCCTCAATGCAAAACGGTAGCTTAAGAGATTTAAAGAAGAGAGACAATAAGGTTCTCTCTCTCTCTCATTTATCAAGCTTTAGATGATGAAGATTTTGAAATGATTTCCAATGCTACTTTAGCCAAGTAAGAATGGGAAAAGTTCTATGCTTCATATAAGAGAGGAGAAGTTTTAAAATGTACAACTTCAAATATTAAAAAGAAAATTTGATGCGTTGCATATGAAAAAAATGAGTTGGCCTCTGGTTATTTTTTTCGAAGTCTTTCCCATTTTTTTATCAATTAAAAAAGAAATGATGAGAAGTTAGAAGATGTGATTATCATTAAGAAGATTTTTCGTTTGTTAAAATTAAGATTTAATAGTACCATAAACATCATCGAGAAGATTACGGATCTACAAAACATGATCATAGACACTCTAGTGTTCATTACAAGCTAATGAAGAAAGGAAGAAGATAAATGAAGGGATTGCCCAGTAACTCCTCAAGTTGGATCTCTAATAAATCAAGAAAGAGGAAAGTTTCAACAAAAATAATAAAAATCATCATGGATAAGGAAAAGTTTGTGCTAACGAACAATGGATTTCATAATAACAACAACTATGAAAGAGGAGAAAGCTCAACAAGAGGGTATGATAGAGGACATTCAAATTCAAGATATGATAAATCTAAAGTTAAGCATTACATCTATGATAAATTTGGGCATTATATTAAGAAATATAGAGTGCGAAAAAAAAAGTACATGAAAGAGTCAATTACATAGAAGAAAGAAGAGAAGGTGTCACATTATTGCTAGTATATAAGGATAATGAAAGATGTGAAGATGGAATATGATACCTAGACACTAGTGCAAGCAATTATGTATATGAAAAAAGAAGCATGTTTGCAAAGCTTGATAAATCATTGAGAAATAATGTCTTGGAAGTAAAAGGCAAATGTAACATTCTTATTTGCTTGAAGAATGGGAAGCATAAATTTATTTTCAATGTTTATTTTGTGTTAAATATGAAGAGCAATATCTTGAGTTTAGTTTAACTCTTGATGAAATGATATAATATTCATTAAAAATATAATTCTCTCTTCTTAGAAGATAATATTGACAATTTGATTACAAAATTATCAATATAAAAAAATAGAATATTATTGCTAATTATTCAAAATAATATTGTCAAATATCTCAAAGCTGATTATAAAGATTTTTCTTGGTTATGTCATCTTTGATTTAGGCATCTCAACTTTGGAGAACTAAATCTACTTTTAAAGAAAGAGATGGTGAGGTATGGCTTCCATCAAACACCGAGGATCAATTATGTGAAACATGTCTACTCTGGAAATATTTCAAGAAAAGTTTTCCAAGGGAATCAAGTTGAAAAGCCCAAAAGCCATTAGCGCTTACTTATACAAATGTTTGTAGACTAATAAAGCCAAGCTCACTCGATAAGAGTAACTATTTTATTATCTTCATTGATGATTTTTCAATAAAAATATGAGTGTATTTGTTGAAGCAGAAATTAGAGTTCTTCATCATATTCAAGAAATTTAAGGTTGATGTTGAGTACAAAAGTGAACCCAAAATCAAAGTTATGCGATTTATTCATGTAAAAAACTCTATTATAGTAATTTGATTTTCTGTCGTAACATTACAAGGACTGGATATAAAATAAAATATTATTTAAGATTTATGAAAATTCACATATATTTGAAAATTCCTTCTTGAGAGCACCATGAAACTATAAAGTTGGCACTACCCTCTCTATTTATTAGCACAGTGGCACTACAATAGGGGTGTTGTGATGCTTAGGTGTTGCGAAGCAGTACTGTGGTGCTGAGAAGTAATGTCATGCATAAAGGTCTATGTGTTGAAATTATAGAAACTTCCTTGGTGATCGTTGTGGTGTTGAGATATGTGACACCATGGCGCTAATTTAATGTTTTATAAAATATCTAAACTCATTTTCTTAGCAATTAAATATCTCAAACCATTTCATTTGCCTCATTTCACTAGGAGGGAAGAATGGAAGAAGAAGGAGAAGAAGAGAGGAAAGGGAGGATAGAGGAAGAGGATTCAATGATCTTCAGACCAATTTCTTCTGTCGAATCTATTAAAAATCGTTCATCTTCAGGTAGGCTACCACTACTGTACTTCTATTTTTTTGATGATTTTGATTTCCCTAGAATTTTTTAGAATTAATTTGGTGAGAAGTTGTAAAATATATGATCTCAATTTCTAGCACTTTCATCATATAACTAGTATGTTGTAGATCTGCTTGTTTTGGATTTTTTCACATTATCATATTAGATTTTTAGTAGAGGTTTTGTAAATTGAGGCATATTTCCTAAATTTGAGTAATATAAATTCATATTGTAAATGATGATTAATTATTGTATTTGGCTTGTATAGAATGAATGAGATGCATATTTTAATAAGGTTTATTTACATGAATCATTTTATTGTAGCATACACCTACTAGGGTCTACATGTTGAGGTTATAATTAAGTATATGAAAATCAGTATATTGCATTATCTTTTGAATCTTATTTATTATGATATGATTTACATGTTTTTCATATATACAATGAATTGATATAATGAAATTGAATCTTGAATAAAATATTAAATGATATCGTCTATATA